GGGGGGGTGAGTTGGAGACATCCATGCCTGATTGGTGCAAGACTGGCGGGAAGGGGGAGGGGTCTGGCCCTCTTGCTGCAAGACCTCCTGGGATTGAGGGGGGTTGGGCGGGCGAGTGGAGACATCCATGCCTGATTGGTGCAAGGCTGGCGGGAAGGGGGAGGAGTCTGGGCCTCTTGCTGTAAGACCTGGGGTGGCGGACAAGGCGGAGTGGGGCATGGATGGGGGCTAGTGGAGCTGTCGACGACGTCTGATTGGTGCAAGACAGGCTGCAGACCGAAGTGGTGGCGGAGGGGCCTGTTGGTATAAGACCTGGCGTTGGGGGGGGTGGAGGTGTTAAGATCTGATAGGCGTAAGACTGGTGGGGGGGGCAGAAGTGTTGGAGGGGTCTGGGGTGGAGGTGGGGCGGGCTAGTGGAGGTGTTGGGATCTGATTGGTGGAAGACGGGGGGCAAAAGTCTTATGGGAGGGGCCTTGGCCTGTTGGTGTAAGACCTCTTGGGGATGAGAAGGGGGAGTAGGGGGCGGAGGTGGTGCTGAGTGGAGGTTTTGGGAGGTTTCGGACTATATTGGCACAAGACAGGCTGGGGCAGGAAACGAGAATAGGGGGATAAGGGCATTGGGGGAGGGTGTAGAGCACTTGGGGGGGAGGGTGACCTGATCGCTGTAAGACCAGTGGAAGGTGGGTATAATAAGGGGGATAGGGAGGGTAGAAGTTGGGTAGAGGTTTGTGTGGGGTGTGGCGGCCTGGTGTGTGTAAGACTGGCTGGGAGTAGGAGTCGAGAGGTGGAGGAGGGTAGAGGGGTTGAAGCTTGGTAAGTTCTTGGGGCATGAGGCAGGAGTGGGGAGAGTGGCCGGCCAGTTGGGATGTGGGGAGTGGGAATCCCTTTGAGGGAAGATCTCACTGGGCCGGGGACTGAATAGGAGTTAGTGCATGAGGGAGAAAATGTATCTGGTGGCTAATGAATGAATGATTGTTCTTCTCTGTAATGTGGGGGTTGAGGTAACTTAACATCAGAGGCTGGCATGTGCTTTGGGCTTCCTGAGTGATCTGCAAAAGAACATTGGTGGGACATGATGGGAGAGGGGGTGGTGCTATGCCTTGTCTTAAGTTTTCTCCAGGAAAAGTCTGCAAGAAACAAATGTAAATACATCTCAGTTCACAGAGCAAAGCTTTGGCTTTGAACTAGGGTGAATAAGCTGCTCCAAGATAAATGCAGAATATAAAAATGTTTGTTCTGGGTTTTGGTTTTCTTAAAGGAGTATGTTTTTGTCTTGACTGTAGACATGGACGCGTCAGAAGTACCTGGCCAATCCAAGATCCGAGATGGTGATTGGTGAGATTGGAAAAAATTCTGTTTTCTTTTGTTTAGTCCTACTGTGTTGGCAAAATGATTTTCTCAAAAGGTATATGTTTCTTTCGTTTCGAGTCTGCAGAGGGTATAACTTCGTTAGTCATAAAAGCCAAATCGTAAAATGGGACCTTAGAATTCTGTGAATCCGGCCTCTTTCTCGATGTGTGAATACTCTAGATCATCCCTCTGTTAGTGGCCAGGAGCATATTCCTCCATGAAGCAACACAGTGCATTGTTAATACGGGTAATTTCTGGAAAGTTCTTCATTCCAATGAATGTCAAATAAACATTTGACTGTAGACATTAAAATTTATTCGACTTTTTTTTTTACATTGCTTATATTTAAAAAAATGAAGACAATCTTAAGGAGGTACCATTTTTCATATACCAGATTGGCAGAGATTTTAAAAAGTTGATAAGGGGAGGGGCGCCTGGGTGGCTTAGTCGGTTAAGCATCCGGCTTTCGCTTAGGTCATGATCTCGTGGTTCGTGGGTTCAAGCCCCGCGTCGGGCTCTGTGCTGACTGCCAGCTCAGAGCCTGGAGCCTGTTTCAGTCTGTGAGTCCCTCTCTCTCTGACCCTCCCCTGCTCACACTGTCTCTCTCCCCTAGAAATAAATAAAAAAACATTAAAAAAAAAACTAAAAAGTTGATAAGGGGAGTTGGCAAATTTGTAGGAGAACAGGCAGTTTCATATAGCAATTGTGGGAATATAAATTGGTGCAACCTTTTAAATAAATGCACATGTCCTTTGACCTAGTAATTACACTACTAGGACATTTTCTTTTTCTTTTTTTTTTAATATTTTTATTTATTTCTAGGAGAGAGAGAGAGAGAGACAGCGTGAGCAGGGGAGGGTCAGAGAGAGAGGGAGTCTCAGACTCTGAAACAGGCTCCAGGCTCTGAGCTGGCAGTCAGCACAGAGCCCAACGCGGGGCTCGAACCCACGAACCGCGAGATCATGACCCAAGCGAAAGTCGGACGCTTAACCGACTAAGCCACCCAGGTGCCCCGACTACTAGGACATTTTCTTTCCATGTTAGTACAGTTTTATTTAATAGATTATATGTCACTTAACTTTATTAATAAAATTGTACATCACACAGCACACATATACTTAAGTGCATAGATGTGGTTATATCCTACATTCTCTTTGTGTAGTTCACTCTTGTCTTGATTCTTTTTCCGTTTTTTCCTATAACCCGTGTCTATTTAATTGTACATAGACATACGTAGGCTGGTTTGGTCTTTGTTGAGTTCTGCGAAAGGATGTATGACTTAATTACTAGCATACAGAGACCTACAAGGATGTTCATCGCAGTATTGTGTGTAGTAACACAAATTGGGAAGAGTTTAAGTGATCTAAGGGTGTAGTTGAATAAATTATGGTTCCTCAAAATAATGTGCAAAACAAGTGAATGGACTCGTAATGGAGAGACTTCTAAGATATATAATGTGAAAAATTATAAGCCGTGGAACAGTCCATATAGCATAATTATTTTAAAAGATGTGTGCACTTGACTTGTGCTGGTGAGTGCTTATGTTAAAAGAACTTTCCAGAAGAATAAATAAGACACGTTGTTCCTGGGGAGTGGGACTCTTGGAGGAACAGGGACAAAGTGTTCCTTTTCCTCACTCTTTCAATGTTCTTTATCACTCACAGAACTGTCTGGTAAGCATTATAACATGATAGTCCTTGTAACGGAAGGGGGGGGTTTAGAAAAGAATGTAGCAAGTAAACATTGAAAAATATACATTTTAAGTGTATTTAGAAAGAAATGCTAATTCAGTGCTCTTTTCCTATTAAATTAGCAAATGAGAAATATTTAATCATGTTACCGTAATGTTGCTGAACTATATGCTGATCTAAACCTTTGGAAAGGATTATAAAACTATAAAACTGGTTTTACTTTTGGTTACTTTGACTTTGGGGAATCAACTTTAGAAAGATCCAATTTATCATTTTTTAACTTAAAAATTTTTTAATGTTTTATTTATTTCTGAGAGAGAGAGAGAGAGAGAGAGACAGCGTGAGCAGGGGAGGGTCAGAGAGAGTGAGACACAGAATCAGAAACAGGCTCCAGGCTCTGAGCTGTCAGTACAGAGCTCGACGCGGAGCTCGAACCCACGAACTGCGAGATCATGACCTGAGCCGAAGTCGGACGCTTAGCCGACTGAGCCACCCAGGTGCCCCTGGAAGCTCCAATTTATAAAAATAGTTAAATGCACCAAGATCCTTGTAGAAGCATTCAATTAAAACATTGTGTGTTATCAAGAACATACCAGGTAAAATTCTAGCTCTATGACCCTTGGTCACTTGCCCCAAATAGTGCCCGGGGCAGATGGTTTGCATTAGTTCCCCTGAGAAGTAAACAGGCAGTATGGTTTATTAGTCAGCCCCTTGCAGATTTGGTTAACAGGGTCATTCCTCTAGCATTTGGTGAAGAATCACAGACCTGAGTTCCTGAACCTGCAGACGCGAAGGCTGGACCCTGGACTTCTGGTTGGAGATGGCTTTGGAGGCTGGACAGCGACTGGTTGACAATAACAGTCATTGTCCAGCCTCTCCACCCACCCTTGCTGCATGTCGAGACGATTACATTTCAGGATCTGGGCACTGTGTTTTCATTAATGCAGACAACATTGTTAGTTTTTTATGCGTTTGCTTCTGCTTTGGGCCGACTCTACCTCGCATAACCCTCAACATAAGGTTCACATAAATCGGCATGTGTACATAATTTTGTAAATGGAGATTATTCCTTAATGAGATCTCCTAGGCAAAGGCTTTTAAAAACGAGCTTCCGTGGGGGTGGGACGTGGACAATAGTGAAAGCGGTCCTTGCAACTGCTTTTTGAGATTCATTCTTTCTCGTATTCAGCAAAATAGTTGAGTCCTGACTTTGTACTGCACAGTGTCCAGATCTTTGCGTGGTTTACTCTCTGCGACGAGAGACCGAAAACATGTAAACAGGCAATTGCAGTATAGCATGATAAGTGCTGTGACGGGGGACAAGTTCATGGTCCTGCAGGAGGGCAGACATTATCTTGTTGAATTTTCACAGTAGCCCTATGAGGCAAATCGTTCTTTGACAACTGAGGCCCAAGAGTTTTATTTACAGATTTCTGGGTGAGAAGTGATGATGGCTCAGAGTAGGGTGGTGATAGAGGTGGAGAAATTGGAATGAACATAGGGTACGTGGCAGTTTATCAATTCTGAGAGTTTTTTCCAGTTTTGAAATTGGGATGCATCCAATGTACAATGGAGGGTTTGGCCAGAGATAGTGGTAGGAACATTGTGTTCATTGTTAACTATAGAGAAATAGAGACTCGGGTGTAGTTACAGATAGGATGGTAGCTTCATTGGTGGGAGGATGAGGCAGTTCGTCTGATTGCTTCTATTTTCCCAGTGACTTAAGAGACAAGGTTGTTAACAGAGGGGAGGAAGTTCTGACAGTTTCAAGGCACAAGTGCTACTGAAATGCATAATGTAAGGGGTGAGGGACCAGTTTTCACTCATGACTCGGAGCCCCATTAGTAATCTCTGATGGCCACTGACTAGTCTCTTTTTAGCCCAAGATTCTTAATACTGCAACCAGAGCGGCACCTGGGTGATTCTGTTGGTTAAGCGGCCGACTTCGGCTCAGGTCATGATCTCAAGGTTCGCGAGTTCGAACCCTGCGTCAGGCTTTAACAGCTTGGATCCTGGAGCCTGCCTCGGATTCTGTGTCTCCCTCTCTCTCTGTCCCTTCCCTGTTTGCACTTGGTCTTTACCAGCTTGGATCCTGGAGCCTGCTTGGGATTCTGTGTCTCCCTCTCTCTCTGTCCCTTCCCTGTTTGCACTCGGTCTCTCTCTTTCAAAAAATAGGTAGACCTTAAAATTTTTTAAAAATACTACAAGATAAACATCCAGAGATCCCATATTTTATTTAAAATATTTTTATAGAGATTATTTTGAGGGAGAGACAGGGGGCAGGGAACAGGCAGAGAGAGAGAGAGAGAGAGAGAAAGAGAGAAAATCCCAAGCAGGCTCCATGCTGACAGTGTGGGGCTTGAACTCACGAACCGTGAGATGTGAGCCGAAGTCAGATGTTTGACTGACTGAGCCACCCAGGTGCCCTGGATCCTTTGACGTTTATGAAGGTTTTTGTTTCATGCATCTTCAAAGCTTTTAATGTGATTTCTTAGCCCTTTCATGATAGGGTTCTGATTAAGCCAGCTGGCTTTTGCAAGGTGCATATATTCTGCTTTGAAACACTCTCTAGGGACCCGGACTCCTCTGGCAGATGATACTTGGAAAATGTATCTAACAAAATTTGCCCCCCTTTTGACCACTGTTTCTTCCTTAGCGCTTTCCTCAGACTGCTTTTCTTGTCAGTTACATGGAACATGGAATTTGAGGTTTTGTCTTCAGGGATTAGAGCGGGTTTCTCTGTCATGTAACTTGTTGTGGCATGTTTCCGATCCCTTCTTTCTTTTGTCTGACCCCCAGGTGTGTGTTGTGTGTAACACAAAAGTATGTAAGAACAGAGCTGAAGTGTGAAATCATATTTGAGTCTATATATAGTGCAGTTTGTTGATCATAGGTTTCAAGAGAACCGGGGTCACATTTTGGCCTGTACCTTGGACCAACCTTTCGCCCAGCAAGTTTTCTTTACTGATTAAAAAAAAAAAAATAGTTTGAGGCTTGCTGAGGAGTCCAGTGTAGTGATTGATAAATGAATAGGAAATTGAACCAAAGGTGTTGGGCCAGCATGTGTTTTGAAAGACTGAAAACTTACGTAATTAGTCCCAACAGTCAGTAAAATAAAAGCCCTTAAGAAGTAGTTAAGCTTGGGGAAAAAAACAGTCACAAACAGAGAGGGGGGCAGGCAAACCATAAGAGACTCTTAAATACTGAGAACAAACTGATGGTAGATGGGGGGTGGGGGAGAGGGGAAAATGGGTGATGGACACTGAGGAGGGCACTTGTTGGGATGAGCACTGGGTGTTATATGGAAGTGATGAGCCACGAGAATCTCCTCCAAAAACCAAGAGCACACTTTACGCACTGTATGTTAGCCAATTTGACAATAAATTATATTAAAAAGAATTTTAAAAATGAAGTGGTTAAGCCTAGCTTTTTCTCCGGAAAACCTTGTAACAACTATCATGGCCGCCTTCTATTTAGCCCGTTCGGTTTTCTCCGTGAGCTAGAGGTCACAACAACTAATATGGTCACCTGGGATCAGGTCCTAGAATGTAGCCTGGCTCCAGCACCAAAGTGACATTTTATTGCAGGTGCATTGCGAATGGATGTCATGGAGGGATATCCGGTCCGCTGCTGTCTGGAGAGCTGAAGGATCCCCGGCCAGAGCATGCTTTGGCATCAACTAAGGCATTACTGTGCTGCTGCAATGTGCCAGACAGCCTGCCACAGGAGAAGTGAGAGGGGAGGTGTGGGTGGGTGGGATGAGGGCCTCTGGCACGTTATTGGGGGGCAGAGAAACAAGAGGCCCCAACATCATGGTTCCCTGCAGAGAGCTCTTGTAGCCTTGAAATCACCCTTTGCTCCCCGAGAGATGGACGTCTGCCTTGTCCACTTAACCTAGATAGCAGGCCCAGGAAGTAAGATGGCCCTCTTCAAGCACTAAAAGCCCCCAAACCTATCCTCCTTGCTCTTTTTTCCTTCTGATGTTTAGCTAATCTCTTCATCCTCAAGTCCTTTCACCCTGCGGCCCCCTTCCTCAGAATTCACTTTCGTATCTTTATTTTATTATTTTATTTTACTCATATCTTTAACTAGAAGGAAATCACTTGTTGGCAGAAAATGGGCTTCTCGTGGGCAGATAATGGTGCTTCACTTAACATTCTTCCCCTGTCTCTGATTCTGAGGTAAAGACTGAGCAGCCTGTTGCGTCTCCTTTCTCTTCACTTCCCCTGCTGTGATCCTAATTTCATAGCCCTGAAAACCTTCTCGCCTCTCAGAAACTAGAAACTCTGATTTGTGGTTCTCTCCATTTGAGGTTTTGGCCATGTAGTTATGTATGACGTGGAGTAGCCTTCCTTTATAACCGTGTGTATTTTCTCTTTTGCAGCTGCATTATTATTTTGGACTCGGACAGCGATGAAGACTTTGAGCACTGTAAGTAGAGTCCACTAAAAGCAGGAATTTCTATTTCAAGGTGTAACTTAGCCACACCTCTGTGGAGCTGACTGAATTGATTTGGGACATTTGGTGTGAGCTGGTCCTGGGCTCATCCCCCCTCCCCCGCCCCCTGCCCCAGGGCTCTCTCCGGAGGAGTCAAATGAAGATTATTTCCCTGCTGTTAGGAGCAGGGACAGTTTTCTGTGCTGATTTTCCAGGTTGCTTCCTCTACCTTTTTCCTTTCGGCATCCTTACTTTTATTTCCTCTCTATCTCCCATGAGGGGATGTAAGAGTCTCCTGTCCATTTTAACCAGCCCTAACTCCTGGACTTTGGTTCTAGGAAGTTAGAGACTGGGGGGGAGCCACATTTTTATCATGCTTCAGATACTTCTGACCCCCTTTTTCTTTCTCTGATTTAGTTGTGACCAAAAAGAAGCAGAAATCGAACATTAGGTAAGTAGGAAAAGGAGTGAAATTTAACGTTTTTTGAGGAATGATGTGGGTAAGAAGATTTAAGAATAAACTTCACATCCTCTCTGAACACTGTGTTCAGGGTCACAGTGGGTGTTTGATCTCACTACCAGGTTGAAAATCTTAGGTTCTTTATGCCAGGCCTGTTATCTAGTTGGTCAGTTTTCCCCTCAGCATGTCTGTGTGATCTGTCCCCTAACTTCGAGTCGCCATTACACAGGCCCTTACCTCGTGAAGGGGTATTGCCCAGGTGCCAGACTCTAGGAGGTGCTAAGAAAAGATCCCTGGAATAAATCCAAAACAGGATGCTTAGATGACTGAGGTTTCCACATTGACCCCTTGAATTCCTATAGTGGGTTTATCAAAGTATGATTTACATATAGCAAAAATCACACTTTTAGGGTGTGCAGGGTGATGAAACTTGATACTGTGTGTGGTAGTGTACACGTTACCGCGATCAGAGGCGCAGGATATTTTCATCACTGTCATTTCATTTTATGTATTTTATTCTTTATTTTATTCTTTGATGTGTAAACTTTCGTAATCTTACAATATATTATTTTTGAGAGTGAGTAACCTCGAGTCGGGGAGAGGGTCAGAGGGAAAGAGAGAATCTTAAGCAGGCTCCACACCCAGCGTGGAGCCCCACGCAGGGCTTGATCTCACTACCCTGGGATCATGACCTGAGCTGAAGTCAAGAGTAGGATGCTTAACCGACTGGGCCACCCAGGCGCCCCCAAGAAATCTAGAAAAGATCTTTAAGGAGGGAACGAACGGGATGGCAGAGGCCCATCAACCTGGCAATTTAAAAGCGGTGACCATGGTGGAAATGGATTGGTGGGTTTATGTCTGCGACAGGTGCAGGCAAATCCTCTGACCGGTGTCTTGAGTACTTTTCTCACCCTAAAGGTGTAGAAGACTTCTCCTATGCTCTTTGGAAAGTACAGAAAGGGGGTGAATTTCAACCTTTCGGAACCTCTGACCCGAACACCAGAGGCAGCCGAGAATGAGGGCCCACACAGGGGTGCTCAGCACACCCGGGTAGCACGGGTTCTGCGGAGTTTGACTCCTGCCAGCCCACTTCACTCCATACTTGACCAGATGCCTCCTTTTGAAAGGAGGTTCCAAACAAGGGGAACAGCAGAGTTACCACAGCGAACAAAGCAAGAAAACGTTTCCAAGTGATCCCGTGCATCATAGAGGAGTTAGAAGAGGCTGTGGGAAGACTGAGGCACTTTAACGTTTCTCTTTTGTGTTTCCCTGTCTCCTCACTCAAGCTACGTGGTGATTGACTCAGACTCTGAGGATGAGTACTTCCGTGAGAACGTCCAGGCTCACATATACGAAATGAGCACCGGAGGCAAGTACACCAGTAGCAGAGAAGGAGCTGAGCTTCGCAGCCCTCGTGGCGTAGTGGTTTCAGGATGCACGTCAGCAGCCGTTCTGGCCTGAATCGCTTCGAGGCGGGCGCCTCCGTTTCTTCCCTGTGCATCTGGGTGTGGCCACGCCCGATGCCCCACGCCCCTCTCCGTGGTGGATTTGTACACAGCTGGCAACTGTTCTCTCTGCTTCAGAACTCGGGTGCTCCCCTCCCCCTTCGTAGAGTCTTGGCCCGCCAAGTGTCAGGGAACCAGGGGACAGGAAGTTAGGGACTGACACTAGGGAGGGGTGAAGGCTGCTCCGCTCCTCCACCTTCCGCTTTTTTCCTCCTCCTCTGTGTGTGGGAATGACAGAGGGCGAAGGATGAGTAAAGGGCGTGGGCTCGTTCTTTCCAGCCTGATACGGAGACTTAGGTGGGTGATGGTTCTGGGTCTGCCCATGGGGACTTCTCAGGGGGAAGCCTGCACTTCTCCAGCCAGCTGTTGGTCTTTGCCTTTCACCATCCTCTTTGTTTTCTAGAGATTTTGCGTTTCTCAGAACCTGTTGCCCACGGCAGATCTTTGCCCCTTTGGATTCAGAGGCCTATTTATTTATTTATTATTGTTTAAATGTTTGTTTATTTTGAGAGAGAGAGAGAGCGCCTGTGAGCGGGGGAGGGGCAGAGAGAGGAGAGAGAATTGCAAGCAGGCTCCGTGCTGCCAGCACAGAGCCTGATGCGGGGCTCCACCTCCCGAATCGTGCGATTGTGCCCTGAGCCAAAAGCAAGAGTCGGATGCTTATCTGAGCCACCCAGGCGCCTCCAGAGGCCCGTTTAACCTTGGAGCTACAGAACCTGTTGCGTGGGTGTGAAATGTAGGAAGGCCAGGAGCTCCTTAAGCATCAGGAACAGTACTGGATCGGTCTTCGTTGGCTTACTGTGAGGTATAGGGCATGATGCATTGGTCCTTCCTTAAAGTACTGGCTCCTTCTTTGGTAAGCGCCCCAGAGCTACCATTGACCCAGGTTCCCTGGCTAACCTGGGATGTCCGAGCCGGGAGAGGAGGTGGCTTGGAACCTTACTCCTGCTGTTTCACTGCTTGTTCCCTGATTTATGTTTCCCCTTCCTCTCTAGCTCTGAGTGGACGTGCCTGAGTGGGATGGGGGTCCAGGGGCAGCAGAGTAGGTAGGGGCTGTGACGTGACGAGCCAGTGTCAAGGGCCAAAAGGAGCCCCAGGGGAAGTAGCTTTAGAGGTAGGGCTTGAGTGACAGAGCCAGAAGCCAGTTCATCACCACAGGCCTCCAGTTGCTGACCTGTTTAGTCAGAAGATCCCTGGTTTTTTTGAGGATGATCTTTGAACTAAGCTTCCTCTTCCCTTTCTGCCTGGTGGACGCTTCGCTGTGAGCACTGATTCCAGTAATGGAGAGATGAGGACTGTCTCTGTGTGTCTCTTTACTGTTCTCCACATGCCCTTTCTTCCATTACTGTAATGAATTTAGGTAATTTCACAGCGAAAGGAGCTTGATCACATAAAAGAAGATCACACTTCTAAGATCACTTCTAACTTTTGTCAGTGTACAGTCATTTTTCTCTTAGATTGTCAGCAATGTGTCCCTACTCCCTTTGTTGTTCTTTGTTTTTTTCTTACTTTCAACTGCAGTTGGGAAATCATCAAAATTTCTAAGAAGGATGACTTTTTACCACAGCAACACCCACTCCTTTCTCTTTCTTTCTTGCATATCTGAAGTTCTGTGGTAATTAAGTAATAGAGGAGACTTTAAAAATCTGTGATCCCAAATCTGCAATTGTTGGATCCAGAGCTTTTATACCATACATACTATTTTTGTGTCTTGTCTGTGCTGTGGTTTGTATGTATTTTTGTTACATTTTTGTTTCCTAGAAACTTGGAAGTTGGGCTCTGAACAGACTCCTGAGAGCATGTGGTGTTAGACATGCCATGCCTCATTTTCAGATGAAGGCACTGTCGGGGAGGGCGGTGACATTCCAAATGTTCCCAAGCTCTCCCAGTGCTGGCATTAGGATGGAACCCCTCACACTTAGCCACACAGTGGCTTGGAGAGCTTTGCACATATGGACTAGTTAGAACATTAAATTTTGTCTAACGATGGGAGTACATTCTAGTACCTTCTATCCGTGTAATTGCATGAAGTACAGAAAGCAAAAGTGTAGAGAGGATGTGATCTCAAGGACCGTCCTTTAAATTACAGAGCTCAGACTTGATTGGGAAAAAGCCCACTTTATTCTGATTTCTCGTTTTTCTGTGGCGCTGAACACTGAGCACCTTGCAGTGTGCTACGTAGTGTGATTTTGAAAATTGCCACTGGTCTTGGGTTGCTGTTTTATCTGTCCCTGCTGTCAGTCAAGTAAAAAAGTGATAGAGGGAAACCAATCTAAAAAAATGGATTATTTCTTGAAATTTAAGTTTGTTTGTTTTGGAGGAGAGAAAATGGGGGAGGGGCAGGGAGGAGGAGAGAGAATCCCATGCAAGCCCTCGGCGCAGAGCCTGACACGGGCCTCAAACCCACAAACCCGGAGATCATGACCTGAGCTGGAATGAAGAGTTGAATGCTTAGCCGACTGAGCCACCCAGGTGCCTCTAAGATAACTGATGCTTAACTGTGTGAGTCATAATGTCAGGCCTCCAGATTGTTAAATTTGCACTCCGTAATCTGAGGTGGAGTGTGGAAGGGGGGGGTGCGGAGGGAGTATATTTCTATATGATTGTGTCTCTTGAATTCCAGATAAGGTTGTGTGTGTGTCTTCTAACACTGAGAGGCCTGCCGTCAGTGAGCCTCCAGTAGTTATTTCTGATGATGAGAATGATTTCGAGATCCCCGTGGTGGTAATAGATGACGATGACCTGTGCTATCAGGACCAAAACTCCTCCTGTAATGAAAGAGAGGTGGAGGTCTTCAATGCCTCCCAGCTCAATTCATCTCTTGCTGTTGGTGAGCTGGACGGCGGGGAAAATCTCTGCCCACTGCCAGGTGTCGCTGAGACTGAGGTGGAGATTCTAGATGAAGAGCCGACACCTGTGGTGGAACCACCAAGGAAAAGGAAGAAGAAAACCAAAAATACGTGTGTGGTGCCCGGTAAGCCAGTCAAATCAAGTAGGCCTGTCCCACTGAACAAGCCCAGCCCCCCACCCCCAATCCCTGCCTTGTGCCACCCATGCCTGCCATGCCCTTTCCCCTGGATATGTCTGTCTTGTCAGGTCTGCCTGTCCTGCCTGCCAACTTTAGGCCATCTCAGCAGGTCCCAGGCAGCCAGGGGAGACAGCCCAGTGAAAAGGATCTTTCTGGAAATGGGGGAGGAACGCCCACGTTGTAGTATTTTACCATTCCCTCTAGCTGGCATGCTTTCTCTTTGTGCTTACCGGCCTGAGGACAATCCCGTGTCTCTTGGAACCCAGCCCAATGGTCAGTTCCTATAGGGAGCTGTGGGTCCAAGATGCTCCTCCCTCCTGGATTCCCAAAGTTCTCAGACCCCCGTCTCTACTAGAGCACTTACCCAGCTAGCTGCCTTTTGTTGTTTTGAGAGAGAGGGTGCAAGCGGGGGGGGGGGGGAGAGGTGTGCAGAGAGAGAGAAGCAGGACTCCCCCAAAATGGGCTACAAGCTCACCTGATGCGGGGCTCTAACTCACAAATCATGAAATCGTGACCTGAGCCCAAGTCCGATGCTTAACCGACTGAGCCACCCAGGCATGCCCCCCCCAGCTGTTTTATAATGTTTCTAAATGTGTCCCCCCCGCCCCCCCCCAGTAGATGGTGAGTCTCTTAATGGGAAGACTCCAACTCATTTTGAAGTCTCTCGCAGGGTCTAGCCTGGTATTTAGCACATAATAGGTGTTTAGTGCTTTTTTTTTTAATAGTCAAATAATTGACTCTCCTGATGCGGAAGTCTCTGGCTAGAGCAGGTAGCAGTATATGGGTGCTAAAAATCTGTTCAAAGCTGGAAAGATTTGGCTTGCCTATCTAGTGTCGGGGCTGCCTAAGATCTGATCTTGCCCTTGAGGCAAGTGTGCACAGCATCGCTTACACTGTGCATGCCTCCATTGCCCACACGATCAGACCTGCTCACATAGCCTTGTTCTAGTCCCTGGTACCTATGACAGAAGCCTATTCAGCCTACTCTGCTGGCCCCTCTGTGATTCCCATAGGTAAAAATCTGTCACGCTGACCGATGGACAGTACGCAGGGTTTAGACAGATGGGTTTCGTTTCTAGATGGTGTTCTGGGGGTGGCTGTGGGGCCTCCTCCTGGGTTTACCTTTCTGCCAGTTGCTTGCTGGGACCAATTTTCAGGATACAAATAAACTATTCTCTTTTCAGCTGTTAAAGAACCAAAAAGACGTGGGCCTTCGAAGACGCTTGCTTCTAAGAAGCATCCCAATGCAGCAAAATGTGATATAAGCCACACGGGGTACGTACTGTCCGTGATGGACCAAACGGGGACTGATTGTATAATTGTCACATGTTAAGTGGTCCACTGGGCATGTGGGAGGGTCTTCAAGGGAATGAAGGAGTCTGGCAGGGGAGGGGGACAGGGTGTCCACCCCTGAATTGGGAGAGCATAAGCAGGGGGAGGAGGAGCACCCCACTGCTCCACACCTCCCTTTGCCCCCACATCAGCTCTGGCCCCTTGAGGTTTCCTTTGTCCTTAAACTCCGATCAAAAAATGATGTCTGACCAACCAAGAGACTTTTTTCAGGCTAAAGACTGCCTTGTGGCCACCAGTTTGCACTAGACCAAAGCAAATACAGTAGAGATAGTGAGAAGGCAGAATGGACACGTTGTTCCAATCCATTGGAATTGGAGCTCGGTTGCCTTCCAGGTTTTTCTAAGGCTTGGGATGTGCCCAGGTGCTCCCTCCACTACTTGTCTATATTCTTGCTGGTTTTTAAGGCATCAACATTAGGGTGAAACTGCTTGTAGTTCTTTTTATGAAGCTGTATGTGATTGAGCCTGAAAACAATGGGTCATTTGGACGAAGGTCATGTTAATACTTGAAGCTAAAAGCTAACAGGTTTTTATTCAGACTCCTGCAACTTCTCAGTTTTTCCTTTAAAAAATATAATGTCGTAAGCCTTACTTTCTTCATTTTTACTTGCTTTCAGGAGTAATATACACTTAGTCTGAATTCTCTTTCAAGACCAGGGATATGTTTGAAGCCTGTGCTTATTTTTTTAAACTGTAGTTTGGGCCAATAAATGCATCTGGTTTTGTTTTTGAATTTTTTTAACATTTCTTTATTTTTGAGAGAGAGGGAGAGAGAGACAGAACAGAGCACAAGTCGGGGAGGGCCAGAGAGAGAGGGAGACACGGACTCTGAAGCAGGCTCCAGGTCCTGAGCTGTCAGCACAGAGCCCGACGCAGGGCTCAAACCCACAAACTGAGATCATGCCCTGAGTCAGTCGGACGCTTAGCCGACTGAGCCACCCAGGCGCCCCTGCCAATAAATGCATCTTAAGGGGAGAACAAGAATGGTGTGTTGGGCATTGGAGCAACAGAGCCCCTTGGACCTGAACGGAGAGGCTCTCTTTATTTCTGCACTTCTTGCTGGGTGAGGCTGCTGGTGGAGTTTCGCGTGTTCTCTTAGGTGGATCCCCTTTCAGCAGAGTTTCTTTTGATACATGTTTCAGCTGCTTTGCCTATAGGGACACGTGCTTTGGGTTGCTCCCAGGCTGCTTTGCTGTGGCATGACAGAATACGACATGTAAGCTGCCCCTTTGTGTCACTGTCCTCTGCATCATCCAAAGGAGGCCGGTCTGTTTGGACTCCTCACGGTTGCCTTGGTGCTTCCTGTGTCAGTCTGGAGGCTTCCTGTTGTGCTTCGCGTTTGTTCCTGTGTAGCTGGTCAGGGTGTCTGATGTACCCATTTGGGGTCTCGCTGGTTCCTCTGATGTGGAGATGTTCCGCCTGCAGCGAAGTGGCACAGGCATTGAGGGGAAGGTATGCTAAAGCCACAAGGCCCGTTTGACGTGAGCACTGATGCACATGGGAGCCACGTTCTCTGCCAAGGCCTGCAGACGCTTTAGGTTTTCATCTGCTGCCTTTTCAGATGCAAATTTGCTTTCAGAACTAAGTCATTGGAGGCAGAAGTGTTAGTTACCCGTGGCAGGCTTTGGGGTGAAGACCCTTACTTTTAGCTGCCTTTGCCTCTGTTGGTATTTATTTCCTCTCCAAGCCCCAGCCACCTCACTGCAACGTAAGGGGTTACTGAGTGTGCTGCCAAATCTCAGTCTCAGGAGTTTCGTTGAGTCAGAAGCTCACTTAACCTGTGTCTGCTCCGGTTTTACATTTCCAGCTCTGTGGGCTCATCTCTTCGGTCTTGTGGATTGTTGGTCACGAGGAAAAACACCTCGGTTTAAATAGGTGTGAGTCCTTTGCGTGAGGAGCACTATTCTTTGTGCATTTGAATTAGGCCTCGAAAGATGGGGTTGCGGTAGTGGTCTAATGAGAAGACCGTGAGATTGGGGTCAGAAGATTCAGCGTCTGGGAGCTTTGGGCAGGTCACCTTCACCTCTGACCTTCAGTTTCCTCATCCTCCAAGTGGAGATCTGAAGAAGAGTGATAGCTTCTTTAGGGAGTGGTTTTGAGGATCGAATAGGTCATGCAAAGAAAGCTCTCTGCAAATGGTAAAGCGCTACACAGATGGTCGTTCTCAGGAGAGGTAGAGATGTGCTCGTTCTAGCGGTCATGGGCACATTGGCTGTGCCAAAGCACGAGTGAACCGTGGGACATCACAGTTCTTGTCCAGAGAACGTTTCACTTGCCCACTTTGGCCAGAGCGGAAATGGTAGCTGGAACGCAGAGGTTGGGACTAGATTGACCTGGACCTTGAATGCTAGGTCCAAGAGTCCGTGAAAAGCCAGGGAGGGAGATCATTGGAACATGGCCTAGAAAAATGAACCTGAGGTGTGTGTGGTTGCATTAGAAGGAAAAGAGCCTGGAGGTTAGGCGTGCAGAGGAATGCTGTAGTGCCGAGGCATCAAGGGGAGGAGGGGGACTTGAACTAGGCTCAGGACGGTGGGGTGGAAAGGAGGGCTGGATGGAAAAGATGACGTGAAGGAGATAGCGGTTTTTGTGCCTGTTGAATATGGGGCGGGGGAGGAGATAGATTTTAAAATGCCTTCGTTTGAGGTCTTTAGCCTGGTATAACAGAAGTCACATAGTTAGGCACATTGAGCAGGAGATTTACTCCTGTTAATCCGTTGGAAATCTGTTTTGGGCGATCGTAAACTCGGAACTGGATCCCGGGCGAGAGCTCGAGACTGCAGATACAGGTGTGGGATCACTCCTGTGGAGGTTGTAAGCATGGGCTTCACATCTCTAAGGATGCAGGTAGTGAGAAGGAAAAGTCTACGAATGGAACTCTGGGAAATGCTCTCCTGTAGGGTTGCTGGAAGGAAGAGGGACTGGCAGGTGCCCCGAGTCTCTCTGGATATGACCTGTACATGTGCATTTCTGCTGTTTACTTCTTCAGCTATACAAAACTCAGTTGAATTTACCTTTGCAGGGGTTCCGTATGCAAAATACCTGGATGTTTCTTGCATGACGTGGAAAAGGCAAAGGATTATTCCGGAAGGAAGTTCAAGAAAAATATGGATAGCCTGGCTCGGGAAATGTACAGTCTGTTTAACAGATCTGTCTTTGATAAACAGGTACAGTTGGTGAATAGGCACTTAATGAGCACCGGTCCTATGCCCAGCGCTCTTGGGTGCTGTGATATGTGTGTATGTGCTAGCTGTATATTTCCTGCCTTTGAGAGGTATCAGATTAGATGGGGGGATGATACATGCACGTGTGAAAGAAACCGACAACGTTTGTGGGTAATAATATATGGTACAGACCTGTTACCAGCACAGGACATCGACAGAGGCAGAAAAATCACTGAGCGCCTCAGCGGTCAGGAAATTAGACTGGCTGGTGGGGGGGGGAAGGGGAAATTGAAGGATGTGGGGAGAGTGACAGTGATGGGGTAAGAAGTCATGAGGCTTGACTATCTGGAAGAGAGGGTTTATGCTGATGAATAATGGGAAGCAGCTATGTGACCTTGGGCAAGTTACCTACCCCCCCTTTGCCTTGGTTTTTCTCATCTGCAAAATGGGGACGATAATAGTACCTACTACTTCATAGAATTATGGTTGGGCCTAGGAAAGGTAATACACCTGGAGTACCTAGAACAAGGCTTCAGACATAGTAAGCGATACATATCTGCCACTACTTGTTTTTGGTGGCGTAGCACTAGATAACGGAGGACCTTTGAAATCGGTGGGGGGTGGGGGGGGAGATGAAATTGAAATCAGGTACCACCTCACAGGGACGGGATAGGACACGAAGCATCTGCTGAGGGAAACTAACCTGTCTGTAGTGTGGGGCCTGGACTGCTTTGGAGAGAATCTGGAGGCAGAGAGCTTCAGTGGTCATTAGGTTTTTCAGACTCTTATTATCGCTGCTGATGAAACTTCCTGCCAGGAGAGTTCTCAGATCTTTCTAAGGCTCCCCAGCCTTTGGGTAAGTTGCTCCCAATGACTGGGGTATTACATCACGGGACCGAGTAGACTCAGGTGCATGTACCGTCTCACCTCTCACCACTCTTAGTACCCACAGGATTCCATTCCTACCTCAGCGGGTTTGCACTTCTCTCCTTGGCCGCCCCTGACACCTGTCCCTGTGCAGGGCGGTGCCGATCTTATATTCACACGTGCTCAGTGGTCTCCCTCGGGTCCTGGTTGCCTGTCCATTGTTCTCACCTGGGCTTCAGCCTGGCTTTGATTCTCCCCAGAATGTGTAGGCTTGCAAAACTCCCGAGTCCACATCCTTGGGTCTGCCCGAAGCGGCTCTCTCACTTTGCCTTTTGTTCTCAGCTGCCAGAAAAGCTGGATATCGGCTGGAATAAGAAGATGCTGAGAACTGCTGGCTTGTGCACCACTGGTGAGACCCGGTATCCGAAGAGGGAGCGTTATGCGAAGATCCAGATTTCTGTGAAAGTCTGCGACTCCGCAGGTGATGGCAGCGTCCTGCTGCGCCCTTTTCCTTCGGACGCAGGCCTGTGAAGTCACTCTTCAGTACCAGTGTTTTCTGGCAGCCTGTGTCACAGCTCCTCCTGCCATTCCTGGGTAGATAGGCCTACTGTGCGTTGCACAGAGGACATTATTGTCAGAGGTCTTCTCATCCCTGGGTATCTGACTTGGCCATCTTTCCATTAGGGTAACTCTCTTGCTGCAGCTGGCTCCCTCCTAACTGAGGTTCAAGGTCCCTGTCGCTAACCAAGCACCGGATTTTCATAGTGACCTTCCTGTCATCATTCCTTTCCAGGCCGTCCCAGCCCGCCCCCCACTCTGCTCGGCCAGGCTAGCCATCACTAGCCTGCCCTGTGCTTCAGCAAAGCTGCCTTCACACCACCTTTCAGAGAGCACCACGCACCTTCCTGGCCTCGTCCTTTGCTCACATTTCTCACCGCACCTAGAGCAGTCTTGCAAAGTTGTAAAGCCAGTCAGTCGTCAGGGGGGGCCCGCTCAGATCCCATTTTGTCCACAGAGCTTCTCTTGACCAAATCCCAAGGTCATAGCCACTGTTCCCCACCCCGTCCACCTAATGTAACCCAGGTCTTGGCTGGGTGTATTTGGAGCAACAGCAGCGTCCCTCCAAAAAGATGAGCGGGCTGGGGTGGCCCCGAAAGGACTTGTCTCTGACAGCAACAAAGTCGGTTAAGTAGGGGAGAAGCATCCCTTTCAGAATGCCGGGAAGCTAACGCTCACGCCTGCCCATGTACCCTTGTAGAAGACAGCTTTGTGTATAGTGGGGCTGAGCGTCTAGCGGTGGCTGGGTAGCAGGCTGCCCGGAATTGGTGTGAGCGCTCATCTTTTCTTTGCATCCCTCTTCCAAGACCGCCTCCGGGATACTTTGATCCATGAAGTATGCCACGCGGCCTCCTGGCTGATCGATGGTGTCCGTGACTCTCATGGTGACTCATGGAGGTTTTACGCCAAAAAATCGAACCTGGTGCACCCGGAGCTGCCCCTGGTCACCCGTTGCCACAACTACAAGATTAACTACAAGATTCATTATGAATGCACTCAGTGCAAAGCCAGGTGAGACCCTTCGCCTCTCAGACGTTCCTCCGTTCCGTTTCTGCTACGGTCTCCGGCCAGCTCTCCGTGATTTTGTTAATAAGTATGTGGCCAGCTGGCTTTGACAAGTGAGACTTCTCTACCCCTTTTGGTGTCTTCTGCCTGCGCGCTCTCCTACTTTGAGCTGACCTCTGACTGCTGCTGCGCCTTGGCGCCCCACTCTCTGAGGAGCTGTGCAAAAAAGTCTTGCTTGGGGTCCCCAAGCCAGCAGCTCTGAGAAGACCCTGAGGTACAGTGACTGATCCCCTTACTGTGTAGTGTCTCTTTTCCTTCTCAGAGTCGGCCGCTACACCAAATCATTGAAAACCGACCGCTTTCTCTGTACCAGGTGCAAAGGGACCCTGGTCATGCTACCACCAACTCGTAAGGATGGGACCCCTCTTGCACCCCATGTGAGACCATTTGCTAAGTATGTGCAGGAGAATTATAGATTGGTTAGGAAGTCAGCAGAAGGGCTAACCCATGGCGCTGTGATGAAACAGCTGAGCAAGGATTATGCCCTTAAGCACAAGCGAAATCCTTAAGGTCATCTGAGAGTGTACTTGTGTGGGCTGAGTTCTCCACTGCTAAGAAGTTTGAGAAAACATTTGTTTCTGCAATGAATACTAGGATTTAAGTGCATTTTTATAGCTTCATACTTTTAGCGATGACTGTTCTTAAGTAAGGATTCTGTTGCTCAGCATTCTGTGCCCTTGATGGTACTCAGAAGCCCTTTGGGTCTGCCTTGGGTGTTAACTTACACTCCATAGTTTTAAGACGTGGACCAAAATACAGTAAGAGAAACATAGTTTAAGATTAAGACCGAGAATAAGATACAGTAAGAGAAACCCATAGTGTTAAGACCACGGTTTTAAGATTAGGATGAAAAGAGAAACCGACAGTGTTAAGACCAGACTGTTCTTAAGTAAGGATTCTGTTGCTCACCTTTCTGTACCCTTGACAGTACTCAGAATCCCTTTGGGTCTGCCTTGGGTGTTACTTACACTCCATAGTTTTAAGACTTAGAACAAAATACGGTTAGAGAAACACATAGTTTTAAGATTAAGACCTAGAATAAGATACAGTAAGAGAAACCCATAGCGTTAAGACCGTAGTTTTAAGATTAGGACGAAGGACAAGATACAGTAAGAGAAACATAGTTTCAAGGTGTAGAACAAAAGGCATTAAGAGAAATGCGTATTCGAGAGTAGCAGGTTGAGAAGAGGAGAATGCCTCTGGGAAGTGAACCACATTCAAAGGTGACCCTCCACCCAGGCCGCTGGCAGGTGCGACCTGTTACAATAGGAGACAAATGTGTTCCATGAATTCAGTGGTTCTTGATGTTGAGTAAAGCCATGTAAGCCAGTGTAACTTGATCAGATAAAATAAATGTTTTCTGCAGTTCACACTTGTTAACTGAGTCTGTTCGTAGACAGCCTGTGCCTATAGCACAGGACGAACCCTCAGGTCTTTTGTCCAAGACCCTGCACATCTGAAGCTCTCCAGAATGTGTCTGGAAGAGCATCCTCAGTTCTGGGTTTTCTCTATGGCTTTCGTGACTGCCCGCAAGCACTTCCACGGGTACAGAATGAAGCCCAGGTTGCATTCGTTTCCTATTGCTGCCATGGCAAATGACCCCAAGCTTAGTGACTTCAGACCACACAAATGTATTCTCTTAACAGCTCTGGAGGTCAGAAATCTGGTGCTTGGAGTGCTCAGGAGACTCAGTCGGTTGAGGGTCCAACTTGAGCTCAGGTCATGATCTCACGGCTCATGAGTTCGAGCCCCATGTCGGGCTCTGTGCTGATAGCTCAGAGCCTGGAGCCTGCTTCAGATTCTGTGTCACCCTCTCTCTCTGCACTCCATCCCCTCCCTCCCCCCCACTCATGCTCTGTCTCTGTTTCTCTCTCAAAAATAAACAAACATTGGGGCGCCTGGGTGGCTTAGTCAGTTAAGCGTCCGACTTTCGCTTAGGTCATGATCTCGCGGTTCGTGGGTTCGAGCCCCGCGTCGGGCTCTGTGCTGACTGCCAGCTCAGAGCCTGGAGCCTGTTTCAGTCTGTGACTCCCTCTCTCTCTGGCCCTCCCCTGCTCACGCTGTCTATCTCTCTCTCTCCTAGAAATAAATAAAAATATTAAAAATAAATAAATAAACATTAAAAAAAAATCTGATGCCAACCTCACTGGACTGAAATCCAGCTGTGGGCAGGGCTGGGTTTCTGTCTAGAGACGCTGGGGTTTGGGGATCCATTTCCTCGTCTTTTCCAACATCTAGAGGGCACCTGCATTCTTCGTGTTCTTCCCTTTCTGTCCAACCCAACATTTCTCCCTCCCCTTCTTCCTCCCCCTTTTTTTTTTTTTTTTTTTACTTTGAAGGACCCTTGTGATGACATGGGGCCCACTTAGATAATCCAAGAGAACCTACTTAAAAGGCCAGCTTATCCGCAACCTTTTTTACATGTAAGGTAACATAAATTCTGGGGATTTGAGGGGAGACACCTGAGGACCCATTCCTCAGCCCCCCACAAACCTCTTTACTAGTCTAGCATCACAGATACTTTTTATGGGCAAGATGTGCTCCACCCTTTTACTTCCTTTCATCCTTCAGTTCGCAGACACTTCGAGTCTTTTAGTGGCCGCATGCTGAAGGCTGACCGCACGTCTGAGAGGTCAGGTGTGTGTGCAAGGTGGCGCAGGCTTCCCTGGTAAAATCCCTGGGTCCCTCCCTGCTGATCCCGCCTCCAGCCACGCCTGCAGTCTCCGCAAAGGCCCAGCTGACGTGCCAAACTGGATCTTAGCACGTTGGTGGCTTAATCCGGGGGAACGGATGGTGCAGTGATTCTCCTCCTGAAAGGGAGGGTCTTAACTCCATAGCCTTGCCACCTACCCTTCCGGGGAGCTCTGTCATTTCCTCCACTTGCGTCCACCTCTGCGATCGCCCACCCGTGCTTCCAGGTGGCTCATGGGCAAATGACTGTCTGCCAGTCCTCCAGCGTTGGTCCTTTTCGTCCAGGCCCGTGTCACTATCCGAGGAAGAGTCCACATCACCTCTCCCCTTTATAATGGCTACGGCTGTCTGGCTGGGCTTTCTGATACCATCACTTGATCCCAAACCAACTTTGAGTATTTCCAACCCTTCCCTCACCTGAATCCTCCACTCTAGCCAGTTGGGACCACTTGCAATACTGGGAAGCATTGTGGTTTTGCTATCATTTCTGAAGGCCCTTCCCCCAAATTATGCCTAAGTAGTAGTGTCCGGCCATCCAGTGAACTGTTAGCTCACACCCATGTACCCAGGTGCTTCTCTGTGAGTGACAGGAATACCAAAGAGGGCAGAGAGGGGGCTCGATGTTAACACAAGCAACATTGGTTGGCGTAGATCTGGGACCAGGCAAAAACAGGAGATGCATCCCCAGAGCCTGGGCAGGGCTGGATGTAAATGATGCACGGCTAACACACCCTGATCCTGATAATCTCATTTATTGAAAAGTTTTAAGCAGAAAGTTTAGATATAAAAATATAAACATGCTCAAATACGGAGGCCTTGGGGACCACAGCTACGGTCGCTGCTGAGTTGGAGGCCTGGGTCAAGGCCCTATAGGGACAGCTTCTACTATGCTGCTGGCTTCCTGCTCCCCAAACACGGGGAAGGACAAGGTTTAGTTACCGAATAAGAAGGGCAGAGGGGCTCCTGGCAGCCAAGGCAATAAGGGCCCCACGGTGGCCACCTCTGAAGTGGCAATGGGGCTTGGCAGCTAAGGAGCAGCAGCGGCGTAGCCCCCAGAGCCAGGGGGTTGCCTCTAGGGAATCCTGGGAGTGTGTGTGGGGAGTGAGGCTAAGGGCAGAGGGAGGGAGGAGCCTGGAAGAGCCTGTGGAACATGGGGGCAGTCAGGCTGCGTGGCGAAAGGAGAACCAACCCCCCCGCCCCCCAGCTTCACAAGCCGGAGTAGGAGGCCTCTGTGGTCTCAGACCAGGATGACTCCCGGCGGAAAGATGATGGCTGCCGCTGTTGCCCCCTCAGGTCGGGGCAGCCCAGGCGCATAAGTAACACCCACATACGCTCTCGGAACTTGACCCCCACGAAGGCGTAGAGCAGTGGGTTGAGGCAGCAGTGCATGTAGCCCAGGCCTGAGGTGATCGACTTGGCCACGTCCACACGGCTCTCTCGGCCACAGTTGCGGGACAAGGCCTCCAAGTCCATGAGGGTGTCCACCAGCACCACCAGGTGGTAGGGGGTCCAGCAGAGGGCGAAGGCCACCACCACCACCACGACTAGCCGCATGGCCCGCAGCCGCCGCTGGCCCCTGGAGACCAGCAGCACAGCCAGGATGCGGGCATAGCAGTAGGCCATGACCAGCAAGGGCAGCAGGAAACCAGCCACCAGCTGCAGTACCCGCAGAGCCGTGCGGCCCACCTGCGGGAAGTTGTACTGACAGTGGGTGGCATTGAGGCGCTCGTCACGGCTGGCCGACAGGAAGATGAAGTCCGGGATGGCAAAGAACAGACAGAGCCCCCAGACAACCACACAGGTGAGGGTCACCCGGACCCCGGGCCCCCGGCGGTACAGCTGGGTGGCGTGCACGATGCTCAGGTAGCGGTCAAAGCTGATGCAGGCCAGCAGGAGGGCCCCCGCGTAGAAGTTGATGTTGAAGAGGGCACCGGCCACTTTGCAAAGGCCAGATCCGAAGACCCACTGGACGGACGCGTCCACCGCCCAGAGGGGCAGGGTCAGCACCAGCAGCGCGTCGGCCACAGCCAGGTGGAGCAGGAAGGTGTCGGTGCTGCTCAGGGCTGCCCGCTGGCTCAGCAGCACGGCCGCCACCGCGCCATTGCCCAGCAGCCCCAACACAAAGAGGAGGCTGTACAGCGCCGGCAGGAAGGTGCGGTCGAAGTTCAGGCTGAAGTCCTGCGGGCAGGGCGGGGAGGCGCAGCAGGAGTCACTCTCGTTTTCTCCGTAGTCATAGGAAGAGCTACAGTTTTCCAGGAGGAAGGCAAACTCAGAGGCTTCGAACACCTGGCGCTCACTCATCTGCACAGGGAGGGAAGGAGGCAACGGACCGTGGCCTTACTCCTTTGAGCATTTCCCCGAACCAGCTCCTCTGTCGGGCAGGCCCTGCTTCCTTCCTTTCCTCCAAACCCTCACCTACTGAACTCCGTGACCAGCCCGGGCTCTGGGGTGGTGACTTCCCATGTCAAACGCGGCTTCTCTGTCACCTGTGTGGGCCATCCCATTAGCCCAGGGATCGTGGGCCGGAGGAAGGGCTCCCCGCCCCTGTGCCAGGAGCCCTTCCTGGCCCCTCTCCTCACTCTTCCTTCACGGCTTGGTCGGCCCTTCTGTTTCCCTGCCACGCCTGGTTCTACTACCTGCCTCCCCAGGCACCTCCCCGCAGTCCCCTCTCCGGGTCAGTCACTGGCCCCCCATTTCCCTCCTTAGCCCTTGTCTAGGGGTCCCAACTTCCTGCCTCCCGTGGGGCCCCTCCACAAATCACTGAAGTCCTCCCCTCCACCGTGTCACATGCTTTCTGTTCCTGTTCCTCCCTTCCTCTAAGGGATGCCACTTGCCACCGTCTGCCCACCCCCCGCCCCCCCACCAAGCTCGGGGAAAAGTATTCCAGACCCCATCACCCTGCACGTTACCCCAGAGCTGCCAGCACTCTCAGTGCCAGTTCAGCCCCACATGGAAGGGTAAGTTCCAAGTCAGAGCTGAAGGGAGCCTTGGAGGCCAGCAATGGTGAGCCTCTACCTCCTGCACTTCACAGACGAGGCCCTGAAGCCAGGCAGGAGAAGGGTGGGCCAGTGGTCACACACAAGTCCGTGGCCAAGGTGGGGTCCCAATTCCCCGTCCCAGGGCTCCTTCTATGACAAGCCCTGCGCCGTCTACCTACTCACCCAGCCCTCTGGTGGCCCTGGCTCGTGGGCCAGCTCTGCCGTTCCCTTAGGATCCCAGGCCCTCCTCTCTGAGCTCCCGTGCCGGCCGGCTGGACAGCAGCACTCACCTCAGGGACCGCTGCTGGGCTGATGCCCTGCCGTCAGCGCTGCGTGCTGCCTGCCCCTCTGCTTTGGTGATTGTGGTTGGGAACCTGCGCTACACAGAGGAAGTGAGGGTTTCACATGATTGTCGGCGGCAAACTCTTCCATGGGGTTGTCTGTGCCAGAGCTCTTAGAACCCAGGCCACAGGATTGCCTATTCCGGCCGCTTTCCCTGGGATGCTGCTCTGGGGGGAACTGGCCACAAGCCCGGGGCCTAGGGAAGGGCAGGTCCTTTGGGGGGGGGAGGCGGGCATCTGAAGGAAAAGCTGAGTGTCTGGGAGGCAGAGGGCAGCCCTGCTGCCCGGGGCAAGAACGTCTGCACTGGTGGAACCGTGCTCATCTGGGCTGGCCTGGAGTGGATCTTTGCGTAATTGTAGATTGCTTTGCTAAAAGTCTGAAGTCTGTGAAAGAGATTAACCTTCTTTAAAAACTGAAATATTTATTTGAAACATTTATTTCTGAGAGAGAGAGAGAGAGTGGGAGAGAGAGAGAACCCTAGTTGAGGAGGGGCAGAGAGAGAGGGAGACACAGGATCCAAAGCAGGCTCCAGGCTCCGAGCTGTCAGCACAGAGCTCGACACGGGGCTTGAACTACGAACCGCGAGATCATGTCCTGAGCCGAAGTGGGACGCTGAACCGATGGAGCCACCCAGGCGACCCAAACTAAAATATTTTGAAGAAAGCCTTCACACTACATCAAGTCCTCCACTATTGCCCCTCCTGATACTCAACAGAGGATGAGGAAAGGGAACTACTCAGTAATGAACTTGGTATGTGCTAGACAGTGCTTTAGGTGCTTTCTCTGACACTGCCTCATTCAAACCACACAAATCCCTTGTGAAGTGGGGGTGGGGGGTGATCCCCATGGTTAATCCAGAAAGGTGAAAGGCCTTCACCAGACACAGCAAGTGAGGATGGGTGCTGGGATTGAACCCATGGCTGTCTTACTCTCTTTTTACCGCTCATCTCACTGCCTTCTATTTTTTTTAAGTGGATAAACCATGATAAACTATGACAAACTATAATATATCCGTGCAGTTAAAAACAAGTGAACTTAAGCTATATACTTTGACATGGCTGGAGTTAGAAAATCCAACGGCCACATGGTAGAAGAGGCAAGTTACAGAATATCATGTGGAGTTTGATACCGCTTATGTAAATTCTAAAAACCACACACACAAAGCAAGACCATATTGTTTTGGATACAGCTATTTGTTCTAGAAGTTTAAAACAGGGACTGGGGGGGCACCTGGCTGCCTCAGTCAGTGGGGCATGGGACTCTTGATCTTGGGGTCATGAGTTTAAGCCCCACATTGAGTGCAGAGATTACTTAAAAGAAATAATATCTTTTTTAAAAAATGTTCATTTATTTACTTTTGAGAGAGAGAGACAGAGGGAGAGCATGAGCAGAAGAGGGGCAGACAGGAAGACAGAGAATCCCAAGCGGGTCCCACGCTGCCAGCACAGAGCTCGATGTGGGGCTCGAACCCACGAGTTGTGAGATCATGACCTGAGCCCAAACCAAGACTTTGGACACTCAATCAACTGCGCCACCCAGGCGCCCCCACCCCCAGATAAAATCTTAACAAAAAGTAAAAATTAAAAAGAAAAAAAAAAACAAAATTAGGGATCGGAGACACTACAAATTCACGAGAGCAGTTCCGACAGGAAGGAGAAGAGGGTTGGGGAAGAGTACGTGGGCCCTCTCAATTTCAAGGAAAAGCTGTAAACAGCATTCGTAGAGCAAATCCAGCCCTTTGTGGCTGCGTGCTACAAAAGTTTCTCCCCTCTCACAGCCCTCGGCCCTCTGTCCTCCTCCCCCCTCCCTATTGCCCTGTTATCCTTATCAGCAGGGACCGGGAGCCCCTGACCTTCCTCTGCTACACAGTCTCTTCTCTCCCTCTCTCCCACCCAGATGAGAAGGAGAGGCACAGAGACAGAGGCGGAAAGAGGCAGAACCAGTCCTTGGGGGTCTCGTTTCTGGTCAGTGTGCTTCACCAGAGCCTCCGGGCTCGGGCCTGGGATTCTCTACAAACTTTTTGACAAGACACACACTGGCAAGGCAGCCGGCTCCTTCTCCACCTGCTGCGCATAGGAGATGTGACTATCCTTGCTCTAAATAGCTGGTCAAACTGCAAGGTCCGGGCCAGAGGAACTGAGCGCCTGCAGGATATCACCAGCGTGCACGTGGAGGGGCCTGGTGACTCCAGGAGCCTTGGCAGTTAGGGTGGGTAAGGGTTGGCAAGGTGAGGAAGAAGGGTAGGAGCTGGGACCACGGTTTCTGGCCGCTGGTCCAGAAGAGTTTCCATTCCCCGGGCACGTCGGAGAAGTGAGGAAAATAAAAAATCTCTGTTCAATTTGGTGTTTTTAATGTTTATTTATTTTGAGAGAGAGAGAGAGGGAGAGGGAAGAGAGAGAGAGAGAGAGAGAGCGCGCACAAACGGGAGGAACAGAGAGAGGGTGGGAGAGAGAGAATCCCAAGCAGGCTCTGTGCTGTCAGCGCAAAGCCCCACGTGAGGCTCAAACTCACGAACCATGAGATCATGGCCTGAGCCAAAATCAAGAGTCGGATGCTTAACCGACTGAGCCACCCAGGCGCTCCTTCTGTCTGTTCAATTTCAAGGAGGGTCTTGTATTCTGCAATGATGTCTTCTTCATCCCCTTCATCCCTTTTTTGGTATTAAAAGGAACTTTTGTTTACGAAATGATGGTGAATATAAGCTGACAGATCTGGAAGGATCTTGTGCTGGCCTAAGTGAGCAGATCGACATGTGGGGCCTCCAAATAGATGTTGAAGTGTCACTGGTCCGTGTGAAATGTCAAGGTCTAGGGGTCCCTGGTCCCCCTCCTTTGCCCTAGTCCCCATTGGTCACATGGAGACAATGCTCCCCAGCTTCCCAGGCTGCTGGGGAGGAGATATGAGAGAAGGTTGGTCAGGAGGTTTGAAAAGGCGCAGGGAGCTTTCCCGAGCTGGGCCGTCTCCTCATAGGCCAGCCTGGGCTGGGGGGCCGCTGCTGTCACTGCTCCCGCGTGGCCCAGATGTGGTGGGAAGAACACTGAACTTCTCTGGCTCCAGCTCTGACTCCCCTCTGTTTGAGCTGTGTGACTTTGGACAGATGACATTCCTGTCTGAGCCGATGTCTGGGACAGGGTTGTTATAAGATGAACTGAGCTAACCAAGTTGAAAGGGCCCTTTCAGGGCCCAGCACGTAGTAGGCGAATGTGGAGTGAGAGGGATATTCGCTACAAGCATAGTGACTGGGGGACTTTCCTGTCAGGTGAGCCCCAGGATAGGGAACGCCCCCCTTTTGGGGCATGTAGGCGTGGCATTGGCCTCCAGAAAGGCTGTCCCTTGCCTAATCCTCTGGCTTCCGTGCTGTGTAATCTCAGGCAAATCACTTCACTCCTCTGCCTCAGTTTCCTCATTTGAAGAGTAGGGAGAAACATAGGACACATGGGATGGGGTTGCTGTGTGGACTGCAGACAATATGAGTAGGTGCGTGGCCCAGGGGAGGTGCCCAGTGAGCAGCAGTTTCCTCCTCATTCTGGTTACTTTCTAGGTCGGCCCTTCTGGGGCCTCAGAACGGCAGGTCCACGGCGGGCCCGCGCTGCCTTTCTCAGCTCGGATGCCTTGGAGGTGCCTTTGTCGTGGTGCCGAGGCAAACCTTTGTCTGACCCTCTACTCCGGGTCCCAAGCAGCCCCCGGATCAGGTCAGAGGCAGGCCCCGCCCTTGGGGAGACCCACCTAGCCAGGGGCCGGCCCTCAGAGATCTGGTACATGTGACCCCCTGCTTCTGCCCTCCTGAGCAACCAGTTGGGGAAGCTTGAGGAGGAAGTTAGTCAGAGTGAAGCTGCTCCGGGCCCCACCTGTGGTCAAGGTGTGAAATGTGCACCTGTCTCTTCTCTGCCACCCATCCCCCTGTTTTTTTTCTTTTCTTTTCACACCTCTGGGCTGTGGTTTGGGGAGATGGGAGGCTCTGAAGTCTGAGCCCCGGACCCAGTCCCTCACAGGAAGGAGGGCCTCTGTACAGCTCTCTGTTGGCCTGACCAGGGAAGGGGGCCATTTCCTCCCCTTTCCTCTCAGCATCTGCTGCCGCCCAGCCTCTTTCGTAGATCCTCAGCATGTCCCCTGGGGACCTTGTTCCAAAAGCCCCTGGCTGGCAGGGGAACAGGCTCAGGGAGGCCCGAGCTTCCTGTGGGGCTCAGGCAGTGGCCTAGCCTGTGACAGGCCCTTTGTTACGCGACATTAACAAGACTCCTGGCCCCAGGAAGGGGTCTGGGTCTGCCGCAGACAGTGCCGGGACTTTGGGAGTCCCTCTGCTGGCCCTTCTCCCCGGAGAAGAAGGGATTAAGTCATAGCGAGGCCCGGGCACTGGGGACCACACCCCTCTCTGCCCCTCTTCCCCAGCTGCTTCCTGCAGCTCTAAGCCCTACTGGGAGGCAAGGCCATTCTAAGTGCTGAGGCCACGGAGTAGGCAGTCCAGGCCCACACGGCTGATTTCCCAAGCTGCGGGGCGCTCGTTCTTCTTGAGACTGGGGCGGGAGGACGTTGCTACCTTCTGCCGAGGAAATTCCGGTGGTGGGAACAGCAGGTGCCAAGGCAAGGACGTAAGGAAGAGACTGTCGGCCCAGGGGCGGTCGCTCTGGCTGAAAAAGTAGTTAACGTGTGAGAGAGGAGGGTAGAGGGGGCTGGAGAGTAGTAGTGTTTTCAGGCTGTCCCCTGAAAGTAGCTTCCATTCCGCAAGCCTTTACTTCCATACACGTGATCTCTTAAAAAATTTTTTTGACATTTATCTATTTCTGAGAGAGACAGAGACAGAGTATGAGCAGGGGAGGGGCAGAGAGAGAGGCACACAGACTCGGAAGCAGGCTCCGGGCTCCAAGCTGCCAACACAGAACCCAACACGGGGCTTGAACCCAGGTCGAGATCATGACCTGAGCTTAACCAACCGAGCCATCCAAGCGCCCCTAGAGCCAGTTCTTTTAAGAGCCACACCTTATTCACCACACGGTTCCCACCAGGTG